ATAATTTAATCACCCGGGCAATAAGTTACAAACTAATTTACTTGGACAGTATTTTATAAGAAATGTTTGTTGACGTTACGGGGTCGCGGGTATTGTGAAGAGTTATCGGGTATCTAAAAGTAACTTTGTGGCAACATTGATATGCCGCTTTGTAGCGTTGTCGTAGCGCTCCGTAGCTCAAAAAGCTGGTTTACCAATATTAACAGGTGCTATGATAGTCACGGTATCAATTTATAGTGACTATCATGGCACCTGTTCCACCGGCAGAAAAACCTAGAGCTTGTTTTCATTCGTTCTAGTGGTGTCCACACGTCTGTGTCGCACGAAAAATTTATTAACCCGTTCATAGATAATAAAGGCGTTTATCTGAAAGATAAATACCAGAAAATGACAAGAATCACAAAAAACGGAATGATTTACACTGAATATTTTATGTTGAATGAATATGTAAGCACTACAGCACAAAGAAAAATAGTGACAATTTTGTATCCGGTACTATTTGGGTAAGTACTGTCCTTGAACGGGCTAAATACAAGAACGTCAATTATTTAAGAACATGTTTACATAATTTTGTGCGTTTTTACGCTAACTTGCTAACTTTTAAATATTCGTTAACCCATTCCATCACAAAAATAACGTAGCGGCGATCACGCACATAACGATAACGACCAAATGTTTTGAAAGCATATTACACAAATATCCCTGCCATATTTAATTTTGAATAAGCATTAAAGTTTTAACTTCAACCAATTCCATTCTCGGATAATTTTGTCAAACATTACCAAACAAATCCTACGTCAATCCCACGATTGGTTAGCTGGCACCAAAGTGTTTATATTTGTCCAAGGACGCTCGGGCGATCCGACGAAACGGGGGAAGTCATTGACACAAAAATTAGCAGCCCCGCCATTCTCTACACAACCGGCTTGGAAAAATATTTTCATGCCTCATGGCACTAACGCCATACACTGTACAAATGTAAATCAACTATTACGATGCAAAGGACCCTAAACGTGTGTTTCGTTTTTAAAAACAATAAAGATAAATAACGAGAATAATAATGAACTTACCTGTATAGTTGCCATAAGTGACTGAACCTTGTTTTCATCAAGTTCCGGTTTAAAAGGCCTGATGATCACCGCCATGGGCACATTGTGGACCTCCTCGTTATACGCGCTGTGGATACTTGTCATTCTGCCCGCTACAACCGATACAAACAACAAATACCTAAAATACATTGTAAATACGTACGTCGTTTAAACACGCGAGTATCGTCCTGGGACATAGACAATTAAAATGCCTATATAAATAAGTTTTGGTTTGCATTATGGCTTATCAAACAGATGATTTTATTACACAATTAATCATGCAATGTAATGCAACGAGTTAGCGTGAGGAAATACTATGACATGACTCATTGATAACATAATAACCTGTTACGAACAAGATGAAGAGTGTGCAACTTAAAAATATCAATTCTAATAAAGTTGTCTAAAATCAAGGATAGCTATTATATACTTACGGTTCTTGATCGTGGATATGAATTTTTTAATTGGATTTAACATAAAGATGACCGTTTCCGTCGCTCTCTGATCGTATACTAACCATTCACACCACAACATCGTTTTTACGTAGCACCTGATACATTCATTGCGTCGAAGGTCGTGAACACGCTGATAATTTACAAACAAATATTTATGTAAATTTTTCTTTCTTGTAGTGATAATATCGTATGTATGGTAGGGCCAGGTGATCTGAGAATGCTTTTAAAAATAAATTGGCTAAATAACTTGTTGCTTGGTAGGTCAAGACAATGACCTCGTTTGTAGATTTTCTTATATCAAGTATCTTATAAATACATAGTACCTAGCATGTAGTATATTATGATCTCTGCCTACGTTGATACGATATTGCAGGATCCATATTCGTCTTAAAGATATAAAATCAAATTAAGCTGGACAGAAAAGGCTTGATGTCCAAGTAATAAGCGGAAGCGAAAAGAACACCTCTTTCGGTTTCATGTCCAAAGATTTTTCTAATCGACTCAAGTTCAAGCCGTTATATGCATTGATAAGTTATTCGTAAATAACACTTGAGTGTATAATACAACCGACTACTCATTGAACCGATTACCCATCATTTACGAGTTATCAAAAAATAAGCAATGGCTAAAGATTTATGTCATAATCAATATGCTCCCTGGTCATAATCATAATCAATTAAGTGCACATTGAGTTATAATCAAGTGCTGTTTTGATCCTTTATTCCCAGTAGCTCCATGTACTCATGACATGTCATATTTATTCCAATTAGCTCCATTTAATTTTAAACTATTTTCACAGCTAACTTTTCTTCCTCATCAGATCTTTCATTAACCCCATTTCCAACCAAGATGGACAAATATTTTAGAGTCTGTAAATGCAGAACATGCGAAAACAAAAGACTGTTTTTCAATTTGCATTGAATTGATATTCAATTATTTTTTGAGAAATTACTCCACAAGTTTGTCATAATTATTAATACTGGCACTAATATCTGGCATGGTTTGCTTGAAGACTTCGGTTCGTATCCGGTCGGATCGAAAGAATTTTTTCTAAGTGTTGTATCTTTGTATTAATAATTAAAATACTGCTTTATTTTTACTTTTATTCATATAAAAATATAATCGAATACCGTACTGAATTTGAAACCTAGATTGAGTTAGACTGTGCTATTAATATAGAACTTTAGATTTGAGATTGAGAGCAACAACGCGAGATTTGAAAAATAAATAAAATCATATTTATTTGACATACATTATAAAATACAAAAAAATAAAAAATATCAAATAATTCGTTCATAAATAATAAAAAAACAAAAGAAAATATAGGAGAATGTAATAATAATAGTACTAACACAATCAGACAGTAAATAAATTAAATTAAATTTGACACCTAAAACATTTACTCATGAAAATAATAATTAAAATCGACACATAAAATTTACACTTTTAAACTTTTAAATTTACACATTTTAAATTTTAATTTTAAATTGCACAATACCAAATATACAGAAACAGCTATCGCGTAAAACCCATGTCCCGAGATTACCTCTCAAACAGCCACAGAACGACACCTCACTTTTTTTTAAATAAAAAATAAGTGCGCATTTGACATCCATCTCACGTAATGGAAAGTTTATATTTTACATTAACAAACAAAACTAAAAGTAAAGTTATCTCTTATCAATTTTGATACATGCGCGCGACTACAGCGCGTAACGTAAACGTGCATAAGCTCTAATGCTTATTTCTTTTATTTTTCTTCCATCCTGTAAGGGCTGTAAGGCCTATTCACTTATGCCTTAAAAAGGTTAGGCATCATTTATCAAAATTTCCGCCACAATCAGAACTTAAGCAATGCCACAACAGTTATATCATAATCAATCAAATGCATTTCTGCTCCTCTGCCGCCTCCGTGGCCGAACGGTTACCATGCCGGACTACCACGCAGAGGTCCCAGGTTCGATTCCCGGGCCTAATATTTGTAAGGCCTACATTTATTTCTCTCGTGACTTTGGGTGTAATTTGTGGTTGTCTATGTGTGTGTCCATGGCACCCGCGACAGAGGGTTTCCAGTGCGGGATTATGTTGACTGTGTGCGTTATTATTATTATTTCGAGTTCTTACCAAGTGCAGTCTTAATTACTTCAAAATCTCAATGATATCATCCAAGATGCCGATGATATCTATTGCTATAGAACTTGAGGTGCATCAAGATATTTGAGAGGCACCTCACCCTTCTTTTTTAATAAAAAAAATAAATGCGCATTTCACATCCATCTCATCAAATGAAGTGACGATGAGATCGACGTTGGACCATGTACACCTAAATAATGACCATTCTCGCCATATAAAGGTTAGCAAAGTTGTAGAGTCTATTCCATAGCCGTTCGCCATAAAAATGCGGAAGCTTAACGCTTCTTGCGAATCTTTTTTGTTAGAAGCGACGCGTTTGTATCGATGCAGTCGCGCGTTTGCATCGATGCAATCGCCTATAAATCGCAAGTGTAGTCGCATGGTTTGCTCTCGTAGTGGCGCCATCTGTACTTGAGTGTATCTAAAATTAAATTTGTTGCGTTAGCTACATAAAATAAAGTTTATTAGATGTTTTTTTTATAATAACGCACACACTCAAGCCCCACACTAGGGAAGCCCTATGTCGTGGGTGCCATGGACACACATAGACAACCACAATTTACACCCAAACTCACGAAAGAAATAAATGTAGGCCATACAAATATTTCTCCCGGCCCGAGAATCGAACCTCTCGAAAATCGGGCATGTTAACCGTTCGGCCACAGAGGCAGTTCTAATAAGATCATTGTATGGTACGGAAAACCCGGTGCGAGAGTTCACTCACACTGAACTGGTTTTGTTACTTAATTAAGGTAGGAAATTGTCTTTGTTATTATACTATCAGCGAAGTTGAAGGTTTCCTAGTCCCAAAATCGTTTTGTTCGCAAGCGGAGATTATAGCTAGCCCGGTTCCTAAATTTCAACGCCATTGGTTGACAATAAGCTTTGTATACTTGAACTGTGTGCAATTTAATTTAAATATTACGTTACTCAAAAACAATTGATCCTTACAATTAGCTCTTTCGATCAGGATCATAAAAATATAGCTTTTTTTTCCATATTTGGTCGGTTCGATTCCCAGGTGAGGCAAGCAACTTTAAAAACTTTGAACGTAGTGTTACTTACTTTTAAAAACAAAATGTCTTCACGAAGCAAAATATCCTATCTACAATATTTAAAGGCGAAATGGCGCACATTGGGAGATGCCTATGTCCAGCAGTGGACTGCAATAGGCTGATAATGAATAAATAAAAATATCTAAAGTACTTTTCCTCCGCGTCGCATAGCCGTGAGATGCGCTGTATATTTGCTGGACCCATCAAAAACTGACACGATATAAGGTAACAGACAACCAGATTTATTTCGAAGATATCTTAAAATTATTTCATTAACAAGACAAGTTTGGTAATATTTCGGATAAGGTATATACCTACGGCAGGAAAGTGCACGCTTATCGATATATTGGCACCAAACTCGTTTAACTCGGATAGGGCGACAAATAAAAACCACGAGGTATAACTACACAAAAATGTATTTAGTTAATTTGATGGTCGCAATAACATTGAACTTTCGTCGTATACATGGTGTTCACGCCGCTGGCTCCTCCACTTTATGCTTTATTTTATATCTTTATACCTTTACGTTTGTATACCTTTACGTTTTTATACCTTTACGTTTTTATCATATACCTCACAATAATTTATTCATCGTAAATATTACACAGAAACTTGATATATAGAGCGCCAACAGCGACGTGATACAAACTCAATGTTCCACAGCAAATGTTAAACATATTATTCAATTAAAATTTTCGTTTTTATTTCTCGTATACTGTTTCAGATATTATGTTTTAGAACACATCAACTTAATTCTAGAAAATGTTTCATATTCAAACTATCGCTAAGTGGAACTAATTGTACGTTACGACACATCGGCACTGCGCTTCGATAAACATTAGAAACAAAGTAAAATAATCAAATAATTAACATTAACTTATCGACTAATTGAAAAAATAAAATTTCGTGCTACAACATTATAGCACCACAATAAAAATATAAATATTCTTTTGTTCTGATATTCACAACTCCTGTTCAAACTGAAAACAATTTGAAAAGATGATCATGTAACGTGAATCGATCTGTTGGTAGCAGTATACTTAAATGTGTGCGGAACTAACACAACCGTTACGAATAAAATATTAAAATTGCACACGAGTCGCGCTGCGGCCAGGAGTTTGCGTCTCCTTAACAAACCGGTGTCGTATTATTATTCCATTTCTTTAAACATGCCTGCTATTTTGCCTTGTACGTTACCGTCGTCGTTTTACGGAATAGTGGGTACGTTTTAAGGGTTATCTGGTTCGTTTTAAGGATTAGCAAGTTCGTTTTAAACATTAGTAGGTTCGTTTTAATGAACATTAAATTCACTGGATTCGCGGAGTAGCAAAGTAATTTATTTCCATTTTTATTAACATAGATTTTCGCAAAGTAACGCCTGAATCTATAGTTAAATTCATTTTAAAGATTAGCAAGTTCGTTCAGACGTAAGGGTCAGTGGGTTCGTTTTTAATAATTGTCCTCTCAGTATGGTTACAAGCAAAACCCGTTAACATTGGAAGTGTCAGCACCGGTTTGCCGCAAAGATATTCCCGCCGCACCTATCTAGGACACTAGTCAGCACAATATCTGAATACTTAGATTAAAATTACACTAGACTTACATACTATCGTATATATATTTATATCCACCGCAGAGAAAGATTATTAAGTGAAAGTTAAAAACACGAGATCTCGCCAAATGTGATCCTTTACATTTACTAATACTGCCAAAAATTACTTTAAAAAAATCCAAAGTCATTGGGTCAAAAAAATAATACTTACAAATTAGCCGCCGCGATTGACATATTTGATTCCATATACATATATTTTGAATTAAATAAAAATGTATAATTGATTAAAATAACATTAAATACTGGGGTAAAGTCGTATAGATTGTTAATAATACAAGAGAAAAATTATCTATCTCAATTACATGTCCTTCCAAAAATACGCTAGAAATATGTTAAACGTGTAGTAGTTTATAGTATACAATGTCCTATGTCCTAAGGCAAAGTCGCGTCGAGTCGCGTCGAATCGCGCGAGACGCATCGTAGATCGTAGCTACTTAATAATAGTATGTAATGTAAAATGGCAAATCTGTGGAAGCTGCACAATTACGTGTCATACCCGTATCCTGAAACAATACACCATTTATGAGGTAATTTGAACATCTTTACTCTTACTATATAACAGGCAGTTTGTTCACGTTCTGGGGTGGAATCTACGATATGCCATACTACAATGATATCTGTTCTGATTTTGATACATTTTCAAAGTTTAACCAATTTTAAAATTTGTCTTCAGCGTTTGTTTTTTTTAATGAATTTTGTAATCATTGTTTGGAAACTGAATTGATATTTTAAGCAGTTTTTATATTTAATTATTATAGTTTAGTCAACATTTGTTGTTGCAAAGTGTGCTGATAATGTGATGTTGAACAAGTATGACTTGTGTATCTGTGATTGTTTAAATAAATAAATATTATTCCTATTGCATGGTTTCTGGTTTAGCTAACTTCATTCTTTATTTGCAATTTCGTCTCAACAAAGTCCATCATATTAGAACATTAAACAAAAAAAAATATGTAAAAAGGGTTGCATTTTTTTTATTCGGGACGTCCAATTATTCCTCTATGCCTATATACCACTATATAGTGTGTAGAGACAATAAAAATTTATTTCTCAAACGTGCTCGGAAATGTTTGCATTACATTCTCCTTAATTCTTCCATCATTTATTATTTCCTTGCATTGTTTGAGAAAAGCATATACAGGGTGTAAATTTGAGACGGGGCAGCAAGGCCCTACCTTAATTGTTGTAGTTACAGGAAAACGGTTCTGGAAGACTATCCATGATTTTGAAGATATTTTGATTGGCATTCACAGATTTTGAAAAAATGGTACAGTCACCAAGATAAAACGCAATTTTTACAAAATATTTTTTTTATGCCCTTCGATCTGGTCTCTAGTAAGGATCAATAGTCTCTATGGGACCACTGAGGTAAGAGTACTCTAAATGTCAGAAATCGCAAATAATAAATAAATTTTTACCATTTGCGATTTCTGCCTTCAAAATTCCTTATACAAACTAATACAAAAATTCTTCTTCAAAATTCATGGATAGTCTTCTAGAACCTTTTTCCTGTAAGTACAACGATTAAGGTAGCTGGCCGTGCTGCCCCGTCTCAAATTTACACCCTGTATATACATCGGCGGGTACGGGGATTGTTTGGCTCGTATAATGTAAACTCATACTCGTCCGGCAATCCCTTACTTCCCGGCCTCTGCAATAATGTATTTTAGTATCATACATTATTATAACAATAATTCTACGAATTTTTGACAATAGGTATGAAAACAGGGCAAAGAAATATAGATACCTCTGATACGGGGCGTTCGCAAAACCTACGGTGACAGGTCCTGGTGCATGGGGTCGTAGCCCATGGAGCCGTCGTAGCTGGGTTGCGGCTGGTCGTAACCAGGCGCCGGCAGCGAGTAACCCATCGAGTCCTGTGTCGGCGCCGGCGACATCATCGGCGTGGCCGTTCCCGAAGCAGCGCCCATTGAGTATGGAGACGCACCCGCTGCTACAAGCAGAAACGCGCTTGTTAATTGGCATCCTTGTCGCTCCAACATTGAGTACTATCTTGGATTATTTATGGCGGGGTCTCGGAAACAACTGAGCCCTTTGTTATTTCGATAGTGAAGTTTTATCATTTTTGTGCATCACACGTACATTTCAGATTGCTAATTGTTTAAAAATGGAGGGGATATCTGTACAAATCTGAACATAATGACAGTAGAAAATTAAGTAATATCTCTGTAAATGTAGGTATGTAGCAGGGTGTTTACTGTAATATGAAGTGGCTCTGGCCGGAGGGGAGCTAGCCTCGCGCCTGCCGGCGCCCACCCAGGACAAGTCTGTGTGCGGAAACGATACTACTGTACGCGTGTACAATTTATAGCTAACATTATATGCTGGCGGCAAAAAAAGCGATTTAAATGTTTAGGGTTGGCACAACAGGTACCAGAAAAATACATTATTTATTTTATTTTTTATACATACAAAGGGATAGTAAAATGTTGTTATATACATTCGCATTTATTTACGCTGCGAAGTAATCAAAATCAAGGGAGTTGTTTCTGGTTGAATTGAAGCTGAATCATATCATTTTCTTTTAACTGTATTTTACACATTGCTTAGTGGCTTATTTAGCAGTCTTATAATTTTAATTTTGCACTTTGTCTGTTTGCCGTATTGAACGGGGACTTACCCGCAGCTTTCTTGGCGGCGTATAGGTTGGCTTCCTCCTGCGCCTTGCCGATGTTCTTCTTATAGCGAATGCGCTTGTTGCCAAACCAGTTGGACACCTGCAACATGTACTTCTATTAGGCAGATCACAAGATTTTATATAAGAAAAAAATATTTAGGCAATTAAACACGATACACATTATGATTTGCGATTATAGTGTCAAATAGTGGCTTTCTCGGGCCCATTGACTTTTGAGTAGTGGAACGCAATATCGAGCGCTCAGAGGACACATCTAGCGATACCTGGCCGACGGTAATGTCACACTTCATCGCCAGTTCCTCCTTCACCTCCTCGCTGGGGTAGGGGTTCGCGAGGTGCGAGTAGAAATACTCATTGAGCGTCTCGATGGCGTGTTTCGTGAAATTGCGTCGTTTACGCCGTGCGTCGAGGAAACTGCAAAGTAGAGCGGTATATGACGTGGGGTACCTGCGAGACAGTGATGCCGCACTTGCGGGCCAGCTCCTCTTTCGCCTCCTCGCTGGGGTACGGGTTGGAGAGGTGCGAGTAGAAGTACTCGTTCAGAATCTCGGAGGCCTGCTTGCTGAAGTTTCGGCGTTTTCGGCGCGCGTCCAGAAAACTGCAAGCGGTCATTCGGAGTCAATTTTGATTCGAGGCAAAAGTTGAGCTGGCTTACTAATGTTGCGTTCGACGGTACAAATATTCAACTTTTTGATATGATTTATTAAGTTAAATATTGCTGTCGGTTACTGAAAGGTAAACATGTTTAAGTAGAATTTTAGCGTGATATAAACGAGAAATAAAATGTATCGTATTAATGATTTTTTTTGTGAAATAACTCACTAACAATTTTGTTATGATTAATACAAAGATCGAACACACAGATTTTTTTTCGTCCCAGTGGCACTTGAACCTGCGACCATGCTGCACCGTAGCTTTGCCCTTACCGACTGAGCCACAGGTCAAGTAACCGAGATGTCGAAAATTCTTCTATGTTTTTATTATAGATCTTTATACTGGCTTTCAGCGTTTGTCGTCGCTTGTGACATTTAGTGAGAGATGTTTGAAAAATGTATCGACTGAGAAATAGCGTCACATAAAACTTTCAAATTGACTTTGACATACCTTATAAACATTATTAAGTCAATAATGTATATTTACCGCGAGCGCAGTATCATGACGGCCTCGCAGGTGGACTGCTTCAGCTGCATCTGGATAGAGCTGAACTTCTTGTGGATGATCTGCACCATGCGCTCTATTTCCTGTTGCACACAAATAATTCATACATTAATTTGAAAAGTATTCAGTATCAAACAAAAAGTTCTAACACACCTTTAGGTTATAATTATTAATGCAAAGACCGAACACAGAACAAATTCCTTCGATCGAGCTGGATTGCAACCAATGTCTTGTAGCAAATCGTGCCAGACGCTATGCCAACTAAGGGCACGATCCCACTATGTCGTTACGTTTTATTATCGTTGGTCGACAGTCGTGTCTAGCCTGCTCCCATATCACGACTATCTGTCGTGGACGATTTTTTTATCGTTGAACGGCTGTCGTGACTAGCTATTCCCACTAGATCGTGACGACAATAGGAGCTGCGGCAATCTGTCGTCACGTTTTTATCGTGCCGTTTTTTTATCGTCTGACGACTGTCGTTCTAGCTGTTCCCACTGTGACGACTGTTTGTCGTTGTAACGATAAAAAATCGTGAACGACAGTTAATCGTGTCGTGCTATATGTGAACAACTTCATTTAAATATACAAGCCACGACACTGTAAATTGCACGACAATCTGTCGTCACGACATAGTGGGAACGCGACCTAAGCCACGGAACAAAGCTACCGACCTTACGAATTTTTAGAATTTAAGAATCTATTAAGAATCTATTTCTTGACACACTATCTACACGCCTTTAAGTTTTCAAATAAAGTATGTATGGTTCGTCTTAATCCATTTTATTAAACATTTAAACATACAAGTCATTATAATTTTTAACTTATTGAATATCACTATGTTTAACCACCGTGATATTAAATTATTTTTGTAAAATGACTCCACTAGTTTGTTACAATTCGATCCGGCCGGATTCAAACCAACGTCTTTCAGCAAACCGTGCCAGACGCTATGCCAATTAAGCCACGGAACGAACTGGCGGACTAACGAATTTTTCTGTGCTTGTTGCAGATCATTGTTTTTGGTTTTTAACGACTTTTTTGTTGTAGCGCTATCTGTGAGATTGAAACAAGTCATTGACCAGACTATAGACAAAAGTTGAAAAAAATAAATACATTGTTAGCAAGTCAATATAAGAATTTGATAAATAACATCACTTTTGGACTTTAGACTTTTCAAAAACTATTTGCAATGAATATTGTTGGAGAACAATTAATTTTGGAGAAAAAATTATAATGTTGTGAGATATAAAGTCGAAACCTTCAAAATACACATGAAAGTGTTACTTATACCATTTATTGAGTAATTGTTAAGGAATTTTAACCAAACCTAATTGTTTACCTTTTTTGCAACGAATTAAAAAAGACTAGATTGACTGTACACTGGACGACCATTATTGCTGCATTTGTTGACATTTAAACTATGTATTAATGGAAATCAATTTAAAATCCAAGTTCATACAGGGTTATTTTTGAAACGTTAACAACCTCGCAGGACTATATTACTAACATCATAAACAACAACTTTTGTTCCATGATTTTTTACAAAACGTAATAAATTTACCAAAAATAAACTTTTAAGTTTTTGTCTCCACGACTCCCAATCCCGTCTTGCAGAGTGATTACTGTTTAGAGCGATATATGTAGTCACTTGTGTGCAATATATACCCGATGAGTACAACCTACCACATAATAATAGACCTGTTAATGCTCACAACAAACCAAAGGGATAAAAACATATTATTTGCCAGCTGGCACGTCAATGCTGTCATTTTAAATCTACGTTATATTGCCCGTCACCTCTCTAACTGCAGTATCTCACATCTTAACTGAGTGAGATGTTCGATCTAAGGTTGCTACCAGACGGACAGCATACGTGACCATGGTTAAACGTAAACAATCGATGACGACGTATAAAGGTCTGTGTGGAACTGACTGAACTCAGTCAAATTTCAAAGCAAAAAGTTGTGGTTGTTCTGGTAACGCTTGGAATCACTGATCGCTGAATTATAGCTGCGCGCCTTGATCAGGAAGGAGTACAGTGTATTTGTTCATGTCGAAATGGATGTTACTTGCAACCTGTCTCACTCACTGTATTCAGAATACTTATGATTCTAAATGCTGATTATCTTCTTTTTTTTATTAAGGATACAAATATATTACTATCGAAATTCCCATTATAAAAGAAATATTTTAATAATTCGGTACACCAATCGTTTGCTGATTAAACCCTCAAATAATCGTTACCTATGGCCGTAGCATGGCAGTATATCACATGCAATGTGTGATAATCCTCCCCGTGCCATACTTATTTCAGTTGAAAAGCTATGTTGCCATTTTTTTTTTATTGCGAATACTCGGTAAGAACCGCACTAGAGTCGGTCGTTCTTTTTTTTATTTGCTAAAGAACTTTTGTTATACATTTTAAAGAACAAGGACGGTATGAAATTGCGTATATAGCCATCTTTCACAGTGTCACGGTGCTCGCCAAGTTAGCTGTAGTGATAAAATTTTAAAATGGCGGTATTATCACTCGAATTTGACAGCAAAATGTGGATATAACAGCTTTATCGCGGCAGCATGCTACGGGGACTTTTGCCGTTACTGAATAAACCAAAGTTGGTTTAAATACAAAAAAAAACATGTCCTCTTAAAAATGTCAATTGCAGCTTTTGATTCTCAGACTATTATTCACATAGACTGCAGCCAAAACGCTTGCAGTTAAAGTCACGACTGCAAACATGCAGTTTATCTGTTAGCAGCCTTATTCAGCTTTCAAAATAGTATATTTTCCAATAACGGTCGTATATCTACATTTTTTATATGAGAATAAAACTCATTCATAGAACGAGCTTAAGTACTAAACCTAAAATACGCTGCCCTGAAAACATTTCCCATAAGCTAGTTGCTAGAGTCAGTCAAGAGAGCGACATTCAACAAAAAAAATCTTTACGACAAAGTTTTTTCGACATACAGCGAGATGGATATGTATTAATAATTATTATAACAAACTAGTGGAGTAATTTCACATGAAAAATAATTGAATATCAATTCAATAAAAATTTTAATACAAATAGATATTTTAAATAAAGAACTACCATGAAACTTATTATGTGAACCATTGACTTACAAATAAATGGACGACGCGTCTAATACAAAAACCACGAAAAAAATGTCCCAAGTCAACCTATTCGAAATTTAAATTGTTATGTCATCGCAGTATCGCGCTGTCCGTAGAACAAATGAAGACTAAAGCGGAGTGTCGCGCTCTGTATACGATTTTAGCGCCTTACAAGTGCGGACACTTTTTAGCGCGGACCCGACGTCCATATAATTGTAAGTCAATAATGTGAACTAAATATAAAAACTCCCGATTTAAGTCGAATTTTTTATTGTCATGTTTCGAATCAGCACGAGTTGCAAACGAGGATAGTTGCTCAACGCCGCCACCCGTAATGTGTGTACGGGCTGTCAAGACTTTGGCGCCCAGTTTCCGTCGAGTCACCGCCGTCGAAGCTCTAGTTCCAGTTCCGGGGGCAGGTTTTGAAACGAGCAAAATTCGACTTAAATACGTTGTTGAGTTACCCGTTAGTCTAATTAATTATATCGACGCTGGAAAGGTAAAACATCTAACGCGAGTTTGGAAAATATTTCCAGCGTCGATATAGAGATGGACAAAAAAAACCTCAAGTTACAACTTACCTTAGGCGTAATAGGGCGCGTACGACTCTGCTCCCTTAATAAGTTCATTACGTGTGTAGTGAACTCATTGCACGCGTTCTCATACTTGTCCAGCTCCTGGTGGTATATCTGGCGGATCTGGGCCAGCTTGGCGCGGTAGTCCGAATGCTCGATCGCGTTATCTGCTTGAGCCACAGAACCTTGAGACGCGGCAAATGGGACAGAAAATGTGTTCATGCAACCGCTGTCCACGCTAGTTTGGTTTTGAGTAGCCATTTACATAGTATGTTTGTTTTGGTGCTGTTTCGATATGACAGATCTATACTATTTCAACTGGGTCTGTTTAGTTGATTAGTAAGAAGTAAAGGGATGATTTTTTTTTTGTAACAATACAACAACATTATTTTGGCTACAATCAAATGAAGTCATTTCATTGTCAAGAAAATATAATTCATTCCCCTCTATCGGTAGTAAACATGTGTCCAATAGTGAATTACGCATGGAAATATCTGCTTCATTTGAATTAGTTTTTTAAAGTTGCACTTGTGATACTCCCATGCACATATAAAACTTTTTTTTTAAATCTTTACCAAACTACATTTGAAACAGTACCTTAGTGTAATTTAATTAATTATATTATTATGTTGAATGCAAATGACTACTTTTATTACAAAGCCACCAAGCAGGAAAGAAGCATCCCAGATTGTAAATAAACTCCCGGACATTAAAATTGGACAAAAGGGGAATAAGCCAATTTGAGAAGGCCTGTGTCATGTGAAGATTATTGTGCACATATACAATTTTGTATATTTAAGTTTACAGACAATTTTAATACAAACTACATTTGGCCTAACAATTCCACTCCAAAATTTAGCCATATTATTTATAAGCTATTTCATATTGGTAGTATAGTATTAAATCTTATGTGTAAATAAATAAATTTTTAAATGGAAAAAGCTACTCAAACCTTTTGTTTAGTATTTCTCATTTAAATGGTATTCTTTCACATTTGAGCACTAAATAAAGTTAATATATAATGAATGTATACAAAACACAACAGTACTTAGATATCATTTTCAGATTAAATTTCATAAACTTATATTCAGAGATAACCTGCCACAACAAATATTGTTTGTATTTAACTTCTCTATTCCGATAACAAAGCTGCTCAAATACACAACAACTTTTGCAAAGGTCATGAAAACTCTGCTGCAACCAGCATTGCAAAACATCTTATTTTCACATTTTTATTTTGTTTTCTCATTAATGTATTTTCCTCACCTTAAATAAAAATATTAAACATGCTCAAATTCAGCCTTGGTCAGTTTACTTGCCTAATTTTATTGCCAGGGAGTGTATATATAACCCGAATATCAAATAAATAAATAAGTACATCATCAAACACACATTGTATACTTTATTACATGCTCTAACACCAGTTTATTGAACTAATACCTACATGTTAACAGCTAGTAAAAGAAAGTACAACAGAATATTTTCAAGACTTGTCAATGTTACACACACCATAATAAATATGTAAAAGAGTTCCCTTTCCTTGAATAATGCATGTTCATTCATCTAACAACTAATCCAATGTTACATAACTAATCAATTTTGTTAAGTAGATGAGGCTTCCCTAAAACTGAATACTTTATTACCAACACCCTAGAAAAGTTTTTTTAATATAACAATTTTAAAACTTATTTTAACTCACAGATTGCTTAAAACTTGGGAAATTGAGAATTTAACAGAATAAGGTATTGTACAGTTGAGCCCACCATATTGCTGGACCGATTTAGAGTGAAATAAGTTTAACGGGTAAGGTAATCAGTTTATGAGAAGTTTGGTATAATTTGGAACTGTTCAAGATAATTACCCCATTCGCCGGCAGCAGCGGAGGCGGAGGCTGCCGCGCCCGCGCCGCCACCCTTCTCCGGGCCCGCCACGCCTTCCGCGATAAGCATGTTATCCAGACGCATCAGCTGAGGATCTGGAGGCTCCTCCTCTTGTGTATTGCGGAGGGACAGGACTACACATACAATAGTAAATATATTTGTGCTCCTAAAAGTTATAACCGTGTTCCCGAAAATAATACATGAAAAATAAACAGTTACCCACCGGTCTTCTCCTTGATTTCACACAACACTGAAAATAGTGCAGGCTTCATTCTGTGACAATTCAAAGTGTGTTTTCTCGCTTGCGCCTCATCCAAACTCTGGTCAGTAATGTTCATGATCTGCTGCAGGATCTCGCCAATGTCCTGCTTGCGCGCTTCGCCGTCGCCCGCCGTTGGGGCACCTTCGCCCCCGGGAAGCCCGTAGCCCTGCGGTCCCATGAGTCCGCCGCTATGCGCCATCATTCGATTCGGATCGTCCATTTCTCCGACCACTTCAATACATAAATTCACCTAAACTTACACTAAATACGTATACGACTTTGTACGTAGTGAAAACTGTAATCTAGCAAAATAATAACTCAATATAAATACAACAAAGCTTGGCTGGAAGAAAAGCCAAAGCTTCTCCCTCTTCTCCAGCAAGCAATAAAATGGCCGCCTCCTTTGTGCTGTCAAATCGGAGATATCGAAAAAGAAAACAAATAATTAAAACTATTGCTATCACGCTTCGTCCTGTACATAACTTGAATTAGTCGAAAGAGAAAGAAAAATACGATGTTGCCATAAATTACATAATTGATCTTTTCGAGAATGATACGCTACGAGGGAATTTATATTTATTTATATTTTATAAGAGAATTTTCTATGTGATTTACATTTGAAACGATTGGTATGTTTTGGAATTGGGACAGATAAATAATGGATGTTGAACATCATAATGTGAATGAAATTATTAAGGGAAATTAATAAAAATTGAACGCACTTTTACAAATGTCACGTCAGCAGGTTATTACTTGACATTTGATGTCACTTCAAATTTTAAGGATTTTCTTTGAATTTCGTCAGCAACCACGCGACAGAGAAGTTAATTACCGGCTAATAGATGTGAGTGCAATACGGTCGTTCAGTTAAATGAGAAACTTTGTCAGTTTAGTGTATAAATGTAGTGTACTTAGTAAACATCTGCCATTTGCGTGTACCCAGTTGAGGCTAACGCACAATCTCCAAATCCAGCAGTGGGGGAGCAATAAGACTCATCGTAAAATTAAAATACCTAACCCTCTTCGAGATATAATTATGGCTGATCCTAAAATTGAAGAAATTCTGGCGCCACTACGTGCTGCCGTAAAAGAACAAGGTGATTTAGTAAGAAAGCTGAAAGAAGAAAAAGCGCCTGAAATTGATGTTAAAAAGGCTGTTGCTGAGTTAAAGACACGTAAAAAAGTATTGGAAGACAAAGAGTTGAGCTTGACACCTGCTGAAGAATTGTTTGATCGCGCGAAAATGGAGGATCTTATCAAGAGAAGGTTCTTCTACGATCAATCTTTCGCTATTTACGGCGGCATCACCGGCCAATTCGACTTTGGGCCCATGGGCTGCGCGCTCAAAAGCAATATGATTCAGTTGTGGAGAAAGTACTTCATCCTTCAGGAGCAAATGCTTGAAGTAGACTGCTCTATCCTAACTCCAGAGCCAGTTCTGAAGGCTTCAGGGCATGTGGAGAGATTTGCAGACCTCATGACTAAAGATCTCAAAACTGGAGAGTGCTTTCGGTTAGACCATCTCATCAAAGCTCATTTGGAAAAGATTAAGAGTGAAAAGAACACCAAGGCAGAGTTGAAAGCTGAAATTGAAGATATTCTTGTGAAGCTTGATGGGATGACAGCTGATGAGATGGCTGCTCTTATGCAAAGATTTAATATGAAGTCCCCCATCAGTGGGAATGAACTCACTCCACCTATAGAGTTCAACCTTATGTTCAACACACAGATTGGGCCTACTGGGCTGGTCAAAGGTTTCTTAAGACCAGAAACAGCTCAGGGTATCTTTGTCAACTTCAAGAGATTGCTGGAATTCAACCAAGGAAGGCTACCATTTGCAGCTGCTCAGATTGGAAATTCCTTTAGGAATGAGATCTCCCCTAGATCAGGGTTGCTAAGAGTAAGAGAATTTACTATGTGTGAGATTGAACACTTTTGTGATTCTAAAGATCATCCTAAGTTTGATTCTGTGAAGGACACTGCAATGTTGCTGTACTCTGCCAATAATCAGGAGCAAGGCAAATCTGCTGAAATTGTTACCATAGGTGATGCAGTCTCAAAAGGAATTGTAAACAATGAAACCTTGGGCTACTTTATGGCTAGAATTTATTTGTACCTTTTAGCTGTTGGTATAGACGCTAAGAAACTAAGATTCAGGCAACATATGGGCAATGAGATGGCCCACTATGCCTGTGATTGCTGGGATGCCGAGTGTCTTACCAGCTATGGCTGGGTAGAGTGTGTTGGATGTGCTGACAGGTCTGCATATGACTTGACTCAGCACACTAAAGCAACTGGCATCAGGCTTGCTGCTGAGAAGAAACTCTCAGCTCCTAAACAACTAGAGGCTGTTGAAGCTGTAGCCAACAAAGCAGCCATTGGCAAAGCATTCAAAAAGGATGCTAAAGTTATCAATGATGCTCTAGCAGCCATGGATACTTCTGCCCTGGAGCAGTTGCAGAATAAATTGGAGAATGATGGTGAATTCCTTCTTAACACTGATAATGGAGAGTTCAAATTAACACCAGATCTTGTTAGTGTGAAGAAAAGCCAGAAAACAATCCATGTTGAAGAAATTATCCCCAGTGTTATTGAACCATCCTTTGGTATTGGTAGAATTTTATATTCTGTGTTGGAGCACAACTTCAAAATGAGAGAAGGTGATGAACAGAGAACATACTTCTCCTTACCAGCTTCAGTAGCACCAACAAAATGTGCTGTGTTGCCTCTTAGTGGCAATGCTGAGTTCCAACCATTTGTGAGACAACTCAATGAGGAGCTAACAAATGTAGATGTTTCTCACAAAGTAGATGATTCTTCTGGTTCTATTGGGCGCCGATACGCCAGGACTGATGAATTGGGTGTCCCATATGCCATTACCGTCGACTTTGATACAATAAAAGAGCCACATTCAGTAACATTGCGAGAAAGAGATAGTATGGGACAAGTGAGACTGCCACTGAATGAAGTTCCTGTAGTTGTAAGAGATTTATCTGACAGTAAGATATTGTGGTCTAATGTAGAAGCAAAATACCCAAAGTTTGAGCAACAGGAGAGCAAAAGTGTGGCGGCTTAATGACGCAAACAGTTTATTTACTCAGCTGATTTATGTTGCTGTTTTTCAGCCTCTCATTGTGAAACTATTTATTTATATTGTAAGCTTCAATGTAATGAACAGGTTTAAACCAGTTCTCATGCAATCGTTTTGTACTTTTAAAATTATCATTTCAATATAAATTATCTAACATGTTATGTTTTATTTACGATTTTTTGAGATTGATGTGATTATCATGATTTGATAAAGATGCACTGAGGTTTAAAAATGAAACACGTAAATTGTGAACAATTCTTAGCAATTTATATTTGAAAATCAAACAATCACTCTATGGGAGATTTTTGTAATCATTATCTGTAGCGACGGTCACGCGAGCGTGATCGATGTCTCGGGCGATCGCGGTCTCGTGACACTGAGCGGTGACGATGGCGATCGCGGTATTCGCGGTCACGCTCGCGGTCTCGGTCCTTCGAGCGCACCCGTCTGTCACGATCGCGTTCTCTGTCACGTTCACGCTCTCTTTCCCTATCGCGATCTCTTTCCTCTCGTTTGAATCTGTCTTTTGAGTATCTGTAGAAATTGAGAAGTATATTTAGTATAGAATGACGGTCGATGTTATAGGTATAAAATTTATTTATATAGGTATAAATTACATAATTTCGACTGCATGCAGTTAATGCGTAAAGTCGTTATCCGTGACCTCTACTGCATGAAGTCGTTATCAACTTAATGCAGTTCCCGATTGCATGAAGTTGATTACGACTTCGCAAGTGAAATAAACGGGCGATTGCATCCCAGCATCATTTTATAATTGCACCATTTGCACTCGAATTTCCGACCACTGGAGAGAATATAACTGAGTATTCTAAGTTGGTTTGTTTTTAAAAACAAATATACGCGATTTAGATCCAAAAAAATGGTTTCATAGCTCAATGATTTTTGAGCATGCAATTTTGAAATTATATAATTTAAAAGAAAATTGCTAAACCACGAAATAAGTTGTTATAAGTAGTTGGTGTCTACCATAGATGTGTCTACAAAGAGGGTTTGAATAGTCATCAAACTTCTTTTGATTGCAACATGGTGGCAAGACTCCTTTGAAGTCTCCAGTATTAAATGTAACAATGTATGTTAAGCGTGTTGCAGAATCGGATTTAACCTGTCTGTGTCACCGTAGTCACGTCTATCTCTGTCGTCGTGTTCGCGGCGATCAGGTTCGGTGCGCGACGGATTGTAGTTACTGGCGCTACCGGCACCGGCAGCGCAGCCGGCACCGCTTCTCTGCGGAGGCTTGGACGCTGCAGTCTGTCTGTTGTGCTCTGCTAGCCTAGTATTCACACATCAAATTAGTTGTAAGTCTTTAACAAATATTGTAAGCTTCACTACTAAAGGCATGCGATTGCCGAAGCACAATACCTGCATCTCCATCTCAATGTAACTTGAGTGGGTTGCTGATAGAATTGACCAATTGGATGGTTAGCGGCTGAAATAAAAACCAGTACACAAAAAAAAATATCCTATATGATAGGAATGCTACTGACTTAAGTGGATAGGTAGATTTTCTATATGTCAAAGTTATTTGTAAAGGCTGGAACTACAGACGTCCTAAAGAATATTTATTATTTGTTCATACACTATGCATATATCGCCGGTGTTTTGTAGAAAGGGCGAAAGCGGCTGGAAGCGCCATTTTGGAAAAAAAAACAGGATGTTTTAGGTTTTAACAACTGTTTTGAAATATTTACGTCCTGGGCACCTACCACAACCTCTTTATTACTAAAAAACAATATTACTTTAACCTTACACTGATTTTTCGTACCATAACGCACTTAAAGTAAGCTTATTATAATGCTAAAACTATGATTGGCAGTTTTATTGGCAGCTTTGTGACTAATCATTCACGCAGTTCGTACTATGACGCGATTTTAACATTAAAGTAATATTGTTCTTATGTCAAATTCAGCAATCTTAAAATAGTTACATGGATGAAATGGAAACAATATTATTTTCAGTTTTATTGTCATAATATTGATTTGTATGATTAAAAGTTAAGTTGAACTTATTTATTTACATATATCTCTTCAATATTTTGTTTATTTATTATTTAATAGCACATAAGAAATAACTTCTCGTTAAACAAAAATACGCGATGTTTATTTCGTGAAATTATGACAGCGCTATCTACATGCTCCTTGGCGAAATTAACAGTTGACACTAGATTATAATTCCGAATGCACAATGTGACAATCAAGACTCGGCTTGTTTTATTTATTTTTCTTCATGAAAATGCGGAAAAATAATTGAAAACAACGTAATTTTAATAAATTTCATTATTACACACTTTTCTTTTTTTGGCAGTTAAAATTCTCTGAATGTAAATAACATTAAGTGTAGGAAATGAAACTATTTTTCCGGATTGAAATCGAGTATATTTGTTTTTTCAAACAAACCGACGTTTCGGGCCCTTTACAGGTCCCATGGTCACGGTTGACTGAGGTGGTACAGTCTTCAACCAGTTCTGTCTAATATTAATGCAAACCACCCTATTTTTTCACTATAATTACAATAGTTATTAATTAAAAACCTTATTTTGAACTTTACAAAGAAAACATTCCAATTTACGCTACATTAAGCTTTACAAATTATTTTATTGAATGAATTTTTATTAAGTTTAATTTATTATTAATTATTAATAGAAATTAGATATACTAAAAAGGGGCCGAAACGTCGGTTTGTTTGAAAAAACAAATATACGCGATTTAAATCCGGAAAAATAGTTTCATTTCCTATGTATAACAATCGCGAAAATCTAAGAACTCGATATAACATTAAGTGCTTTAAACATTGTACTACGATAAGACGATTCGGAACACCAAAAAAGAAAGAGACGGCATTATACAGTTCACATAGCGTTATCTCTTTCGTATTTTTAGTAAGGAATAAATAATATTGGGAAATCATTCGTTCTTTCAATCACTTTTGCAATAACACTTTGCTTGGTGGACAGGTTCGTCATGGTACGAATATGAGTAATATTATAATAAGCTTACTTTAAGCTTACATTGAAATAAGATTGTTTTCGGAAAGGTTATGTTAGGCCCCCTGTTTTAAAATTCAACTTCGGTTTTAACTAAGGTAAAGTTTTAAAATGAAATTTAAATCTGGGCAGATATTCTAAAACGGTCGTGAAAAACTATAACATGCTCTCATTTTTTTCCAAAACACCGACGATATGTCACTGCATTTGTGTTAGTTATTTTTGATGTTTCTTTAGAAAAACTACACATGAGGTCATATACATAAAAATGTATCTATAAAATGGTGTATATAAATCCATTGATAACCATTACCTACCTTTGCTCAATCTGTTTCTGAATAGGCACAGGTATGCGAGGGAAGAGGGTGCTGAACCAGTCCAGTTTAATGAGCATCTGACGTACGAGCGCGCCTATGGTGGTAGTGCCGCCACCACCAGCGCGAGGGTCCACCTCTTCCTCATCGTCTAGGTAGTCTGCATACCAGTCAAACAGGTCTGCTGGGGGCTGAGTGTACCGGATGTACATGAAGCCTGTAGTGATAATTGTCAAAAAAGTTATCATAAAAATTATATTTATGGAATTTATTTAACTTATGAAATTGTCCGATAGAACAACTCCTTTCCATGTCAAACTTACGAAATAGTCAGATAGAATAATTCCTTTTGGCAGAAATTTACAAAGGGAGCCACTACACTAGTCGACACTGATCTCATTAGGCCGGGTCCGAAAAGCTTGATTGCTCAAAAATGCAATTATGCAACTTTGAAACTGGTATACTAAACGTCATTTCCTTAAGCCCTTATTGAAAATTTGATTTTAAAATATCGGAGAACTTTAAAAAAAAATTATTACGATAAAAATGCAAGGTAGCTCGAATTATGTGTCCAGGAGTGTACATTCCATCACAATCAGAACCCCAATAATTGTTATACACACGAATCACAAGAGTATCTCTTTATCATATCAGATTAAATCCCATAACCTCACATTCACGTAGTGTGAAGAAGCATTTGGCCAGACCGCCAAAATGATAGTGACGGAGTGAAGATATTTGTGTTTTCCATCCGTTACTCTCATCTCTGGACTGTATTCGCACTTTCCATCAGGCGCGGTGCAGTCATTTTGCCGAGTCACAATAAAAAAAAAAATAAAAAAAAATTGGATATGAGCTGTCATAACAAATATTGTTTATACTTTTATTGAGAAAGCGAGGCTGCTAAAGAGTTCGGTACAACCTCAAATGACTTTGGTTGATGGTAGCGAGTGTTGAATCAATCAATTTGGAAAAAATATATCATCAGGGATAGTGCAAATTTGAGTATGCTGCATTGATAAAAGGCGTATCTGCACTAAACTAACTTTTACGGGAGCTTCCTTATTTCAATGGCTAGGACTTTGCACAGCAAGCATTAAAATGTCCCCGTAAATACGCGGATATAATTTGGCCACTCAATTACAGAACTGGAAACTCGTAATCCAATGCTAGTTAAGAGTAATTGCACTATCTCCGACGGTATAGTAAAATTGATTATATATATAATGATATATTAGTAAAATACGTTGGTAAACAGGACTCCTAAAATTGTTCCCGACAGAAAAAAACACAAAGTTGCCATTGCATGTCCTAATGCTGCATATCTCCTTTAAAACGAGGATATAGGTCATAGACTGTCATGCTGACCTAATGCCAGTTAGGGACTGCAGTCATTTTGTAAAAGTTGTGAGCCTTCTGTGACATGCAGGTTTCATTGATAAAAATTTGCAACAGATTTGTTTATTTACTTTCAAGATATCACTACCCATGTAAAATTTACATTTTCCTGTTACCATAAAAGCATTTGCCCATTTACATGCAGGTATTGTGGCTTGAACAAGCACATGTCCAATACTGGGCAGAGAGAGAATAGATACACTCTCTATTGTATGCCACGAGGTGGAAGAAACACCTGTGCATCTCCTCACCCAATGCTGCCCCTTGATGGGCGTACGAAGTTCTACACTGGGAGGGCACATGCCTGTCTTGCCTCAGAACTGTAATTAGTGATGATCACAATAGATCAGTTGATGGTCGCAGTGATAAGGGGCAGCATATACCTCAATTGATACCCTAATAATAAATATATACATGCAAACAACACACGAAAGAAGTTTCTACATCATACCTACCAAGGGCTCGGATGTACGGAGAGTCAGAATGCTGCAGCAGGCCATTGACCTGCTTTCTGGTTAGTCTTAGTGTATACAGCTTGTATAGTAGGCAGAATGCTGTGGAGACAATGCCACCAGCACCTACTCCTCGAACCTAAAAGGGTGATCTTATTAAGAATACTTATTCAGTGATAGAAGGTGCCTTGGCAGGGCAGGTCATTTTTAATTTCTATGCATGGCATATTTCATCATTTATGGCATAACCAATCACAAAAAGTGATATTACTGTTTTATGACCATGTAGATGAATTTTTCACAGTAGAAATTACAAAATACATCTGAAATTCACGTTTTCAAACATTATAGAAAAATGTCTGTAAGAATATTTGTTAACTCTCTGCAGAAGGGTTTAGGTCTTTCTACAATGTCAACAATTTCAACAATTTTGAATTTTTTGAATAAATTTTTAAAAACGTAGTGAATTATTAGTTATTATAATGTTTTTACTGCCATGGTAGTCCATCCATCTACTTTTTTGTGAAAATACATTAAATTGTTATTGATATGTAGATGGTCACGTAGCGACATTGAAGCGACAAGACTACTCTTGTTCTCCGTACGACATCCACATGAAACAATTACTGTCAAATAAGTCGACCAAATTAAAACACAATGTCAAATATGAAGCTTCATTCGCATCATTCGTCTTTTAATATGATGGAGTATTATATATTTGACAGTAATTGTTTGGGACGATTGTCAGATGGACAACGTGAGTGGGCTTGATCGGAGTCCAGTCGAATCAAATGAATTTTTCTTTGCATTTGTTCGATCTTTATTTAAGTAATAATATCGATGCTGGAAAGCAATCTTATTGTATGTCGAAACACGGAACTATGTTAGTTTTATTTACACTATACATATTTCTGTGTGTTCTGCCAAAAATTAATGTTGTAACAAGAAATACAGTCATAGTATCCAAATTCATAAAAATTAAATAATTTTCTAAATTTTTCAAGTCATGACAAGATAGCTTTCTAGCATCAATATAGTGAATTTATTAATGACACACACACTATGACCATTGGCAACAAGCAGCAGCACAAATGCTACATATAGTAACCATACACCTGCTGTTGTTCAGTTAACAGCATATCACTACACACTTATGTTTGAATATCACCTCACCAAGGGCAACGGAACAAGTTTTGACAATGTGTAGCTTGATATGTACAATGAGTTATATACACAAAAAAACTTATGTAGATTTTTTGTTATACTATAATGTTTTTGTTGCTTTGTAAAATGCCAAGAAAGTATTTTAAAGAATTCCATTATTTTTAATCAATGGATCAAAATAACACTGGACGGGTAAAACGAGAACTAAAATATTTTATTTAGTATTCTTTTAAACATAAAACCAGAGTGTTAAATGTTAAAGAACATACTCACGCCGCCACACATGCCGGTCTGGCCGGCGGTCTTGCGACTGCCGCGCTCCCACGGCTCCAAGTGCTTCACCTGATAGTAGATCTCGTCTACTACCTCATGGTAAGTCTTCAACTTGAAAAGGTGCACTGTCGACAATAAGTGAAACTTTTAACACGTGAGTAAATTGCAAGTGATTATATTACCGTGAAAACAGCGTCGTAATACAAATCCAAAACTCCTGTGCGTTGGTATGTTTGCTTACCTACCTTTGAAGTAGCTAGAACCTTGAATATTTGCTAAGATTAGAGGGTTCAGATTCATAGTTTGTTCATTACCCCATATCGGTAATATATTATGCTGCTTGCTCGTTTTCGCAGGCTTTTGCTGGCTGAACTCTGAAAAATGACAAATGTTAGAAACAAATCAGTGAATATTCGTAAAACTATCGGAACAACACTCACCTTCGGTTTCAGTCATATTACCAACTAATACTAAATACCTATTGCAAAATCGTTGATTGAAATGCTACTAGCACCGATTTCACTTCATTAAAACTTTCATAAGTTATTTTAATTATATTTCAACCATTTAATTCAGAATAGTTACGTATTGCCTAACAACAACAACGACAAACCACAAAAATATGGCCGCCGTCGACGACGCAACGAAAGACAAAATAGACTTGACGTAAACTAGCACGAGCGAAATGTAAATAGGCTAATAAACAAATAGAAAAGAGATAGTAGATACGGAAGCAAGTTGTTTATGGCAACACTAACCGGAACTGTAATGTTTTTTTTTTACGTATATGAGTCAGAGGATTGGTATAATGGATAATTTCGTACGTATTGCACCGTGTGTCTGTCCATAGATTTATACCTATATACTAAATCTATGTGTCTATCACAAAGTAATAAAACATGAGCAATAGCAATGTTCTTATATGTATACAAAAAAAAAAGAGATGCTACGTGTCTGTATCTAAATTGACTGTTTCTTTTCGTAACTATAAATTATGTTGTCTCCTAAGATGTAAAGACTTGTAGTCACACAAATGTACTTACAGTTTAATAATTTTGTTACAAAACACGTATGTCGCTAAATAAGCAAAACAGCAAACACTAGCTAGCCAAGAAAAAAGGCGCCAGAAACAAACACATTTAAATTTATAATTTAAATATACAAGTAAGCTTAAAAGAGACTATATTATAAAATATATACAAAGAGATTTGTAGCGATTCGCTACAGTCATGAATTCATAATAGTACATTCATTTTTGAAAGCAAACACAATTTAACTATGGAAATTAACATAAGGGTAGGTAATCAAAGTCCAGTAAATATTCTTACATTTATTAATCACTTACAATTACATAAACTGAGTGATATATATTTTATTGGTAATAGAGCTCCAAGTTCATTCCGTCGTGGATTTCATCTGAGCAAAACTGTTAAGGAATTATAAAGAATGTTGTATATAAAACTGTAAATAAATATTATGTATAGAGATTTACAAAATTGTACCTAATGAAATGAATAATAATAATCCCTTTAATAGTAAAACATTTATGTATGTTGTACAATAACCCACACATGCAAAATAGGTGCTAAGAAATTGATTAACAGATACCAGTCAGTTACACTATGTCATGCTATTTATGTTCAATAAATAAAGCTACAGCTTGTTGGTAGTTTTTGGTGTCATCATAAGAGCTAATAAATAAATAAACTAATGAACTTGATGAATCTGAACTGTAAAGTATAATTTAAGGAATTGGCACAACTACTTCATCATATCATCCTTCAGGCCTTTATCCCCTTGTCCTATGGCACCTTTTGCAATGTCAGCATAAGTCCCACTGGTATAACTGTCAGTCCATTGAAATTGGCCAGATGGCTAATTTATATTGTTATTTGTGTGGAAACTGATCCCCCACCATGTCTACAAGAACACAAGTGGGATGGGCTCTGCCAACAGAACAGATGGGAACCATAAAACCTCAAATACCCTCACCTCAGTCAGTTACACAGCTTTATATCTTTTGCGGCAGAATGCCTGAGACTTGAAACCATTTCGCCTATGGTGAAAATCCTGGTTTACTAGCAGCTGCTTCTGCTAATGAATAAGGTTAGAAATTCAAGCGCGAATCCAAGACTTGCAGTGGGTGACAAGCACAAAATCTCTTTTAATTTGTTTTGTTTGTATTAAGCATAATAATATATAAAAGTTTTTTATTTCTGTGACTTAATGCCGAGTTAATACTTGTCAGTTAGACAAATGATAGTTAATAAATTTATTATCTCCCTAGACACTTAACATGAGCATTTTAAAAAGGATACAGTCTGAGAGTCTGATGTGATCCTTGAAAACTGTGTACCATTTCTTCAGAACGATTTTATCATATCGTGTGCCAGTCTGCGCTGCAATCAGCTTCTTCAGGTCGCCGACAGTATCATCAGGGTTGCATTTTACTCGCACTTTCTTCCCAAGACGATCGTTGCAAGTTACTTCTAGCATTTTCTAGAAAAACATAGAGGTTATGTTACTAAAACTAGTTTACTTAGAGATAAATGACTGTAATTAAAGACAATACTCACCAAATGGTTCCTTCGTAATTTCAATGGGTGTTTTTTATTATTTTTAAAATATAGTCTTACTGCAACAAACAAATTCGCATCAACAAATGTAACGTTTCGGTATTGTCAATTTGGAGTGCTAGTACAGTAAAAAAAAAAGTAGTCTCCCAAGTTCTCGAAATTGTAACTTGGCCAAAATGGTATTGTATATTAAGAAGAAAACATCTATAATAATGTTTTATAATTTAATATAATATTAATGATTTCTAAGTTTGGGCCTAACAACGCTGCTAACTTATAATTCTTTTTTACTTCAGACATTACAAAACGTAAATTTAAGTTTGACATATTTATTTTGACGTACGTCAAAAGCAGCGAAAACATCCGGTTCTTTTTGCATCTCATAATATAAATTTGTAACCAAATAAAAATATTATTAAATTAAGCGTACATAATAATTTTGAATTGTTAATTTTATGACCTTTACATTAAAAATTTTTAAAATTACAAGTAACCTAACATTTTAAGGTTTGTCTTTGAACAGGAAGTGAACTCCAACAACCCACACGTCATTCGACGGCGTACGATTGACGTGACGGCAGACGGGTTGAAGAAGTGAAATTTCATTTGTGACTAGTGGTTGTGAATTCCAGTGAAAATGCAAATTCCTAATGAATATGTGTCCACTGCGGAAGATATTGCTGATCAGGTATGAATTTATATACTTATCGTCTCTACTGAAGCCATAAGTTTAGTGTAAAGTCGCAATTTGGGCATGCACTTTGGAATGGTTTGTCACGTCACCGAACTTATTTTCTTCTTGGCGCCGTCTATTAAGTGAAATTGTGTACATAAATTTTAAATTAAAATACTTCTAGAATTGTAACTTTGTGCCTGCCAATAAAATAATATTGCCAGTGACCGCAGGCCTCGGTTGCGGCACCATTCATGTGATAATGTGAACTTACAGATGTTTCACCATTCCAATCTGAACATTGCTGTATTTAACCACTTACATTTGTTCTACATAATCATTTAGTGTAGGTTAAAGTGCATTTTTCAATATTCCTCAAGGGAATCGACGTATTTTGTTTTACTATGATATGAGTATGAGATGTTCACTTGTTGCGTTTTCATATTTGCGAATAAATTTTGAGAAAGTAACTATGACTTTCTGTACCTTCACTACAGTGAATATTCATTAAACAATAGCATCTGCCCTAGTTTTTATGTAAATGTTTTTGTACTTGTCAATGACAAAATTAGCTATGAAAAACGAATTAAAGATTGTAAATCAATCTTATTTATTGATTGTAAAATAATACATAGAATTATTCACATACAAACCATTTTCAGAATACTTTACACAATATAATTTAAGAAACTTTTTACAATATTTGAACAGCAATAAGCTCATGAAGTAATTCTTAAAGGACATTATGAAAAGGATGGAATATTTGTTGAAAATATTGACTAATGTGTTATTGTAGACTATAATTAAGATACTCAACTCTAAGTGCTCATGGCTACATTAAGTTAATTCAATTTTTAAAAAGTTAAATCAGGGTTTTGTTTAAAAAAAAGTTATTTGTGTATATTATTTACTAATTATAATTTGGATCTGAGATTAAGAATTTAAGGTCTGTAGTATGTTCTTAGCGTCTATTACCTTTACCTCTTCTAAATCAGGTATAATGTTTGCTTAACTTACTCCAGTAAGTTTCATGTACCCATTGATGAGACAACATCACATAATTATGTTGCTCTGATCCCATAGTAAGTCACAAAGCGTTTGTGTTATGGAAATCGGAAAGAACGACAGTAACAGAAACACCCAGACCTGAAGCAATATATAAAAGTTAGTTTTCTTAATTGGTCCAACCAGTGATTGAACCTGAGACCTTGGAGATGGCGACACCAAGAAAACTGGTGTGAAAGCCACTTAACCACAGAGGTTGCCACTTAACCACAGGGGTTGTCAAAGTTTAGTGTTACAGAGCAACATCTTTGCTAAGGCATATTCTCTTCATGGTAGAATCTAGTCTTTGTTCTCACATATTTACTACAAATTTCTTATTATTATTATTAGGGTGGCTTCATTTGGGGCCTCATGAGGCCCCTCATCACTGCGACCATAAATGATCTATTATGATCAGCACTAATCACAGCTCAGAGCCAACAGCATTAAGGAACTGAAAGACTTTCCTGGCTCCGACAGTGTTTATGTACTCTGGTGTTGGAGAGTTGAGAGAGTTTCTTGAATTTTTGCTTGGGAAGCATGATATCAGAAGTCATTCGCAGAACAGGATGTCCCAGAATTGAGTCCAGGGCCGATCTCAATGTCTGGGAGAGCCATCTAGTCCTTAACCTGGTGGAGAGCCTATACATGCTGTTACCAGCCTCCTTCTAAAAAAAAACCTAAGGCCATCTCGGCCTTGTTGACCGAGTTAGCAATATGACAGTTCCACCTTAGGGTTTGATCTAGGGTTACCCCTAAATATTTAACTTCTGCGGGAAAACTCACAGCCCTGCCACCAAGGATCAGTTCCACTAGCTTGTCTAGTTTCCGCTTCCTAATGAAAGTAACAATAGTTGTCTTTTCCGCATTAATAGATAATTCGTTGTCTTGACACCACGCGGAAATGGTGTCAAGAGTGATGATATAGTACTTTGGCAGTGCCCTCGAACTGTGACCACTAGGTCATCCGCATATAACTGGGCGTCAATGTTCAGTTCTGCCAACCTGCTAAAACTGATCCACAGCAAGAGTCCAAAGGGGAGGACAAATTACTCCACCTTGCGGGCAACCCCTTATTGTGGAGGCCACAAGCCGGTCCCCTTGTAACGAGATACTGGCTCTGCAGCTTAAGAGCATATTTTGCACCCATCTCGTAGTAGAAGTGTCTACACCTTTGCAGGTTAGTCCCTTTACCAGAGTACGAATGGGCGTATTGTCAAAAGCACCCTCTATGTCTAGAGAGGCACATAGTGCTATTAGTTTGTCCTCAAACGCTCTTTCAGCCCTGTCCACAAAGTGGAGCAGAGCTGTCTCTATGGATTTTCCACTTTAATAGGCGTGTTGAGATAGTTGTTGTGTTGAGATAGATGTTGGATAGGTCTATATATTAAGGACGAAGCCCTAATGTGATTGTCAAGTACCTTCTCCATTGCTTTGAGTAAGAATGA